TGCTGCACTGCCCAACATCTTAACTGCTGGCATCAGGTGCTGGCCATTTCTCCCTTGAAAACTCAGTGTTGAAGGCTTGGAGATGCACGACACATAGAGGGCTCTTAAATAAGCAGGATTTATCTGGATAATATTGATTAAATGTTAAAACCCAGGTAAGCAGCAGAAAATTGGAGGATTAGGTAAAATGTCCAAGATACAAGGAAATGGTTTTTTCGCTTTAGCTCGGGTAGAAAAATATAGAGAGATCTGCTCCAGCAGTCTGTGCAAACCCTGTTGAGTGTTACAAAGACATGCCTTGCAGGTGACACAGACTTGGAGGTGAAGCGAGCCTTCCTCTTGTACGCTCTGTTTACAGTGTCTCCTAGACAACTTTGTGTTTCTGTGTTACCTTAGAGAACTATGCTAAACCTACCTCTGCATCCATGTACCTGGAGGAGTGCTCTAGTGACCTGCAGGGCAGCAGATGTGTGAGAAGGCAGATCAAGTCTCACACAGCACTGCACTTCTGCTATCTAGAGTCCACAGCCTAATGGTGTCACTTTGGGGATTCAGAGCCTCAGAAGAAAAAATGTAGAAGTCCACTGCAGATCTTGAATTCAGTGTAAGCTAATATAGTACTACACCCCAGCCTTTCCTCTACCACAATTTCCTTTCCCATTCACTGACAGTGCTGCGGTGTCACCTTCCTTTCAGCAGATCCTCTAAGAAAAGGTAAAGTAGCTTAATACTGTGGCCGGTAGTCACAAGAGTCATTCATGCAATATCTCAGGGAAGGTTAACCCGGACTAACCAGACAGTGCCTGTGAATTTACATTTAATTATCTCCAAGTCTTGTGATGTCGTTTGTTATGAGTCAAACTAACCATCATTTGGTTATTCATCATGGAATTCACATTGGACTCTCACCCAGACGGACGCCACTGCGTAAGAGAGTTTACCAGCATTTTCAGCTCAGTCTAGCCAATCCCCTTGAGAGGAGGATTAACTTTTCTGATTTCCTGATGTAGAAAAGTCTTTGCATGTATAAGAATAATCAGAGTATGTGGGGAGCAATTTGGAAAAGATAATAAGCATTCATTTCCTCCAAGCTCCCTAGATCTTTTTTTTTAAATTCTCTTTTCTCCACTAATGCAGTCAGGGATGTGAAAGGGAGAAGGAAGGGCTCTACCATTGCTATTCATTACATGGAAAACTGAAGGTCTTTATTCAAATGACAAGAGGCATTGCCAAAGAAAAATCTTTATAGAATCTTGTAAATATTTTGCCCACCTTTCTTCCTTTTTTTCCCCAAAGATATACCACATTATGGCTGTAAAAGATGGCATGAGACTATAGAAAAGGCAGAGAGCGCTTATCCTAACCAAAGCCTATCCTAACCAGATGATTTTCCAGCACCTGCCTCTCTCCACCTCTTGCTTTAGCAGACCAATGGATCCCAGGGCCAGGACCATTATCCAAGGCAGGTTCCCATGGAGCATGGTAGAGAGGTGGTAGGGAAACTGCAGAGACTCTGCACTGCAGGACATGTTGTTCCATCAAATAGGTGCCATTAACTGGGCATCTGTTGATGCACAACACAGCAGAGCATGAAGTGCCAGTCGTCACCAGCCATGGACAGAGAACCTGCAATCACTGAGGAAAATACTGACAGGCACTGCATGTCAAACTCCAGGAGTCTTTCTAACTTTAAAAGAAGGAAGGTATACAAATGAGGCCTACAGCCGTGAGATATGCCATGAGATATATTGTGAAGGGATTTCCATTATAGCCTTGAGGTATGTTGTGAAGGGATTTCCATGAGATATGCAATGAGATATGTGACTAAGGGATTACCATGGGCATGATGACATGCTGAATGGGTGACTATCAGTCAGACACTGGATGACCCTTTTACCTTCAGTCAAGAAGTAGAAGAGGAAGTGATGTTAAGGTGTTGTGATTCTGTTCTGCTCCTTGTGCAAGACCCACAGTCCTTGTAATCTCTCTCTTTTTTACTCTCAATATCCCTCATTTACATATAAAGTGGCTGCTCCCTGTCCCACATTTATGATGGCAGTAACAGAACATTTGATCACAGTCTCACCTCCACTTCTCCCAAAATTATAAATTTCCTTAAATTGGTTAAGTTGGATTTGAAATCCTCATTGGCAGAGGATGAGAATACGACCATGTTGCAAAAAGTCAACGGGCTTGCTTCTCTCTCTTCCCCAAAATAGGGAAGATTTCTTTGGTAAGATTTACACCTCTGACTGCATTGGAGTATCCCCAGGAGCACTTACACATAACAGTGTACACTCATGTTTTGCAGATCTAGTGAATTTATCAAGGAAATATGAAAGAATCTATAACCTCTTGCTGCAATAAACTGCACTATTAGTTAATCTGTGTCCATGAAATTCTTATTGAACTCGACCAGATTTACAGTGATGAATCGGTAATCCTCACTATTGGTGAATCTCTGTTCATAAAGGAGAACAGGACTGTAGTGTAACCTACATTATTGTTGCACCTGAGAACATGACCAGACTTAAGAGTGATAAATTGGCTAAAATCAGAAATCAAGTCCAGCCTCCACCAGCCCCTCTGCTCTCTGAAGACCAGCTGGGAAGAGCAAGGGCATGTGTTGTCTGCTGAATTGCTGCACTCTTAATGCAACAGAAGGAAAAGTAAATTAGATTCAACCTTTAAAGATTTGATAAACCAAAATAAACTCTGTCCAAGCACTAGAGCAGGACAGGGGCAAGGTGTTATTGCACTCTAGATTGACAACACAAACTTCCTACATGAACTCATAAGCAGCCACTGCACTCAGGCCCATAATTTCAGGTGCTTACCCAAGGTCCTCAATTCATTGTCACCAAACTGGGCTGCACTGATGTTCAAGAGAGAGTGGGAGAGGAGAGAGCGAGAGAAAGTGAGAGCCAGAGCAAGAGAGCCCCTCTGTAGGTGCTGCTAGGCTCTGGAGATGGAAGGAGCTCTGACTGACTACACACCAGAGACTCACACTGCTGATTTAGGTGCCTGAAATTAGGTGCAATGAATATGGGCCTTAAAAGTCTTCATAAATATGTTTCTAGGTTTCTTAAGAAGTCAAAGAAGACCTTTGGAGCATTTACAATACTCAGATTTTGAACTCTCACGTATTACAGTATTATTAGGAACCTAAGTGTTATTGCAGAGCTAGCCTAGCTCCTACCATCTTTATGCTTCATTTCTTTGTATATTCTTCTCTTTCCTAATATCTTTGTAATGTATTATGTATTTTAACTGTAAGCTGTTGCATTCTGGTGTTATATCTGACTATTTGCATGTGTAAGACTTAGGAGCTGTTTAAGTATCAGAACAAATAAAAAGACTTTTAAATAGGAGAAACAAGCAACATCTTTGCAATGAGAAGCTTGTTTAAAAGTACAGCTGGAGTATGCATGCGAATTGTTCTTTTCTCTGTGATCTACACTTGGCTTCATAAGAAGTTCAAAAAGCAGTAATCTACTGATCCTAATGGGCATGTGCAAAAACCCTTAATGATTTAGAATGTTCTTCAAATGTTCAGCAACAGTACAACTAGGTGTTTCTGAAGAAAGATTTTCTGCAGGGATTTCATAGGTATGTAAAGAGTTGACAGGGCTAAAGGCTAGAGTAACACCTCAAAAGTTACAGAAAATAGCAAAGATGATATTATACTCTTTCTGAAGTACAGTAGCATGGATAAATGATAGCCAGTTAGTATGAAAGCAAGTAAATGCTTTCCTTTTCTGTCACAGTACACTGCAGCTTCTAACAACAATAGCAAAATTGAACATTTAGGAAACAGAAAAGCAGAAAATGTTCTTGAAAGTTTTCCACAACAGTTCCAGTAAAAGAGGTCTAAGAGGAAATTTAAAATGAAAGTTTAACATACCATTTTCTGTGTGCTTCTAGGTCTGGCAGATTTGATGCTGGAAGAAACTGTAAACTGGAGCAGAAGAAAACAGCATAAAAATTGTTCCCACTGGTTCAGCTGAGGTGTAGACAAGAGTACAATATGACATAACTCACTCAAGGCAACAGTAATATACACAATATCTTCTTTGTCTTCATCTGAACACCAAAGGAGGGCAACTTTGAAATATTTAAAGAGAGACTATGAGATTAATCAGCTAGGAGATATGCATTGTGTAAGGGTAACATTCATGTGAGCAACAAATATTTGCAGAAGCTCAAGTTCCTTTTTTTCTTTTCCATATTTACTGTAAGCTGCATGAGGGGAGACAAAAATTGTTAATTGGTATGAAAGTCTAGTAATTTTTATAATAATTATTTGGGGTTTATTTCTGTATCTAATAGCTTCAAGGACCCAGATCTTACTAAGAATCACTTGCATGCTAATATAAGCAGACAAATCTCTTAAACTGAATACTTTATGAAAGAAATGTCTATTAAGTTAATGGGACATATGGAAGGGAACCAAAACCAAGAGAAAAAGGGTAATGGTAAGGGCATAGAAAACTGAATACAAAAAGATGAAAACTGCATGGGAGAGTGCACACAAGCTGGATTGAGAATGCTTATTTCTTCAAGCATCCAACCACATACCTGGTACATGACACTGGAATATGAGATGCTTAATGTCCACTTGCTTTGGTTGTAAGTAGGTTTTCTAAGTCACACTGTCCAGTCACCCAATGCTGGAATTTTTGACAGGTGCTCAATGATTTCAGAGATCTTTCTCACAGTTTATGCCTAAAAACTGTGGAAATTTTAATGGCTGTACCAACACTTAGCATTTTCATTTGAAATAATCCTGATTTTTTTTTATATTAGGAACTTATTGTCATCCAATGAAGACCACAAGGGGTTTCAATTCTATGCAAAGTGAAACTGTAGTTTTAACTGAATGCTAATGGAAATGCAGAGCACTTCTTTGTTTTTTGGTTTGCTTTGGCTTTTTTTACCTAAGAAATGTGGGAAGTAAAATATGTCCCTTCAACGAGTTGGAGGCAGGGTAAATTCAGGGGAGTTCAAAAGTCAAGAACTTCTGAACTATAATTTGATTTTTAGAGGCACAGGGAGTGCCTGATTTACTGATTTCAAAAGTTCAGATTTTCCTCAGACGTTGCACAAAATCTCTTTAGTCTCCTGTGAAATACAAAGTAACTGAAAGCAGAAAAGTACTTCCTACTGCATCATGTGTTAGGGGAAGACCCACCAGTAACAGCAAATGTATAGTGCTGCCTCACTGAGCAAAGAATACAATTTAAAAAAAAAACAGGTGTCTTTAAGTGCCTTAATCCTTTAGGTATAAGTTTGTTTGTCAGTTGGCTTGTAATCAGATTAGTGAACTCCCATTTCCGTTTTTTTTTCCCTTTGCATTCTAAATGAAAACTTACAGCAAGTTGTTTTAGCTTATTTATCACAATCAGGATTCCACTCTGTTCATCTCAAAGACAGATAATTTACTTAAAGGTCTAAAATCTTGTAGCAAAATCTTTTCTCTAAAGTGCTAATCCTCACATAAAGAGTGAGGATACAACCCCTCATATTCATGGTTAATACAACATTCAGTGTGAGATTGCGTAATTTACCCAGGAAATTATTCAAGGAAACTAGATAAGTTACTCAATTTTTGAAATACTTAAGTTGACTCTTCAAATTGCTGTTGCTGATAATAGTTGCAGAAATGTGTTTGCCAGCACTAAAAATAACCAAAACAATAACGAGAAGACAGCAGTGGAGGAGACTGGCCAAAAACAAGGGCAGAGGAGTACTCAGAGCTCTGGTGAGGGAGGAGACCCAAACCACCCAGGGCGCTGAGGTACCACTGAGGGAGCCTCCTCTACCACAGAAATAGTCTTGGTCATTTCTGAAAGCTGAGGCTGCCCCAGGCTACATCTGTGCCAACACTGACTGACTGGTGTTTACAACAGGTTACACTTGTGTACTGGAAGCAAAGGTACCTGACACTTTTACTGAAAGTGAGTTACCTTCAAGAGAGGCAGAAGGCATCCAGAACTACCAGAAATAAGATGGAGCTATTTTCCAAGCTCTCCAGGGTCAGCAATGCAGCTACACCTCTCCTGTTTGTTCCTTCCTAAGAGACTGATAAGATAGAGTAGCCAGAGAGGGCATCCCTGCCTTTCTCTGGGGTAGGAGTGCCAAGGCAGCAATGTTGGGAGCAGTGGGGCACGCTAATGTAGGAACTGCTGGCAAATAATAAAACTGGCCGGTTCAGAGGAATTTTGGTACTTGTAAGTGGAATCCTACTTCTTAGTGATGAAATTATTAGCCTGCAGGACCACTGATTTGAAAAATTTCATGTAGATAATTCTACCATGAATTGGGTAATCCTCCTGGTTTTTCTCAGGCAAAGGCAGTGAGGGAGTACTGGAACAACATGTGCAGAACAACATGGAACTCAGACACTGCTGGACCCAAACAAATCACATAGCAGGAAAGCAGCTCCCTATGAGTAAGCAAGCAACTGTAATGAAGCTCATATTAAACACACAATAATATCAATTTATGGACTTCTAAAGATCATGAAATATGATATTCCCATTTATCATAGGCCTTGATATTGCCTTTCAAACAACTGTGCATGACATTTCTATGTGTAAGGGCTACTACTCAATAGAGGTTATTTTGATTCTAAGTTCACGAACTGCACTTGAAATTAATTGATTTCCTTTCTACCCCTATGTATAGTTTTACATATGCAAAATATCTATATGCTATAGGAATATATATTGTGTAGTGCATATATATAAGTATAGGTAGATGTGGTTGCAGATATACCATTAAACAATGTCCTAAGTGTTTTAACTTGTGTAACGGAGGACAAAGGCCTGCCACTTACAGTGGTGCAGGCTTCCACTCACATTCCCCATGCCCTTCCTCCCAGGCTGCCCAGGAGCCTGTTCCAGAGCCACAGGGGCAGATTTTCCCTTTACCCTCACACCATTGTTCTCTGGACACTACCCCTGCAAGCCTCAGGGGTCTCCTCAGAGCTGAGAGGCAGGGCGTCTCCTCAGAGCTGAGGGGCAGTGGCACATGCCTCACTCCCACTTTTCCCCAAAAGTAACTCTGTAAGTGAAGAGTTGATGTGTACCACTGTGACTGGTACACTCTACTCTGCCCCCTGATCATGTGGTTAACTCACAATATTTTATCAGACAAGCAGCACCTGTGACTAAGTGGGTCATATATTCATTCTCTTGAGCCTCATTCTCAGGCTCTGGAGGTGTGTGAACCCTGAAGAAAATCCATACAGACATTTTTTTCCCCTCCCTCCCAGCCTCAAGGTTCCTGGGCACCGGGTCAATTCCTCCCCTCCTTATTGTCCTGGAGGGTCCCAGGCCCATAGTTCACCAGACCACCCCAGAAGAGGGAGGAGAAGTGGAGCAGCACATGGAGCACTGTCTAGAGATCCAATTGGTTGCAAGACATAAGGGGGGTACTTGGACCTGAGCTGCTGCTGGACAGTGGGACCCAAAACCCTCCAGTGGCAGGGACAATTCCACCATCATTTGCATACTCCGAGGATGAAATGAATGACGCATATACGTATTTTGTGAGTCTAGATCATAATTGTGATATTGATACAGCAAACTGTGGACCAAAATTTGACTTGATCTGCAGGGTGTTTAAGTCACTAGAAATCATAAGCAAGGATGTATTATAAATTCTGTATTATGCTACTTATAGATTGTACTACATTGACTTGGTTTGTAGAAATCCTGTGCCGTTCTAAAAATAATTTCTGTGCTATACTAATCATAATATCCTGCCACAACATATGCTTTAGTTGTAACTATAAATTAGCACCATCATCATTCTGCCAAAGCCACCCACTATGGACCCTGCTAATAGGTACAGACATAGAATCATAAAATATGCCAAGTTGGAAGGGACCCACAGGGATCATTGAGTCCAACTACTAGCCCCGCACAGTGACTCCAAGAGTCACACTATGTGCCTGAGAGTATTGTCCAAACACTTCTTGAACTCTGTCAAGCTTAGTGCTGTGACTACTTCCTTGGGGAGCCTGTTCCATTGTCCAATCACTCTCTCTCTGGGTGAAGAACCTTTTTCTAATATCCAACCTAAACGTCCCCTGATGCAACTTCAGGCCATTCTCTTGGGTTCTGACACTGGTCACCACAGAAAGGAGATATAGAAAAGAGGCCTGCCTCTCTTCTTCCTCTCACGAGGAAATTGTAGACCGCAATGAGGTCTCCCCTCAGACTCCTCTTCTCCAGGTCAAACAGACCAAGTGACCTCAGCCACTCCTTATATGGTTTCCCCTCAAGGCCCTTCACCATCTTCGTTGCCCTCCTTTGGACACTCTCAAATTGCCTAATATCTTTCCTATATTGTGGTGCCCAAAACTGCACAAAATATTCAAGGTGCCAGTGCAGAGCAGAGCGGGACAATCCCCTCCCTCAACCGGCTGGCGATGCTTTGCCTGATGCTGCCAGGACATGCTTGGCCCTCCCGGCTGCCAGGGCACTGCTGACTCATATTCAACTTGCCTTCAACCAGGACCCTCAGATCTCTTTCCACGGTACTGCTTTCCAGCCCCTCGTTCCCCAGTCTGTCTGTACAGCTGGGGTCGACCCATCCCAGGTGCAGAATCCAGTACTTTCCCTTATTGAACTTCAGATGGTTGGTGATTGCCCAGTCCTGTAATTTGTCAAGGTCTCTCTGCAGGGCCTCCCTGCCTTTGAGAGAGTCAACAGCTCCTCCCAGTTTTGTGTCATCTGCAAACTTGCTCAGTATCCCTTCCAGTCCTTTATCCAAGTCATTTATGAAGATGTTGAAGGGCACAGGGCCCAAGATGGAGCCCTGTGGAACCCCACTAGTGACAGGTCACCAGTCTGATGTTCCCCCATTCACTGTTACCCTCTGTGCTCAACCCGTGAGCCAATTGCTCACCCCCCACATGATGTGTTTATCCATCTGTGTGCTGGACATTTTGTACAGGATACATGACAGACAGTATCAAAAGCTTTACTGAAATCCTAAAAGATTACATCATCTGGCTTCCCTTGATCAGTTAGGTGGGTTACCTTGTCATAAAAGGAAACCACATTGGATAAGCAGGACTTTCCTCTCATGAAGCCGTGCTGGCTGTGACCAATGACTGTGTTGTCTTTCAGGTCTTTTTCAGTAATTCCC